GAGATACTGGGAAAGGTGAAATTTTCAGGATAAACTATTCTCATCAAGACCTTTCTCTGTACGAAGTTTCAAGTCAAAATTCGAGAATAAGTTTTTTCCATGTTCCTGAGGGGGGCCACGGTAATGACTTATTTCAATATACTGATGATACAATATCTCGACAATAACAAAGTTTGGGAAAGAACGCTTGTAGATTTTTTATCTATAGTCTAAGCCCTCTCTAAGGATCAAAGATGAGCTCGAACGGAGGGTATCATCTGGGATGGTTCCCTCGTAAGTGTCCACGGGTTCTTATCCAACTAATATATTATTCCTACTTACAATATCATTCTACTTAACACAAATTCCCTAGAAGATAGTTAAAGAGTAATCTGGAAGAGTTCAATACGGTAACTATCATGCTTGCTCTTGATCTGATAGAGGAACCCCATAAAATCAGCAAACTTCAATGGCATGGTAAGAAAGAGCAGATCAAGGGATCGAAGACAACTCACAGCAACAATAACAAAAGTGGTTGATACCCAACTTCAGTCAACGACATTGGAAACTGTCGAATTGTAACATATGTGTCAATATAGGGATAATGGACAAGACCTTGACTTATCATTTGGTAAATGCTTCCAAAGCAGTTTATTGGTATTTTTAGACACATCAGTAACTATCATTTCCAGGAAAGGAAGAAACTTCTAGTTTTCTTCTTTATGTCTCACTATAATATATTTAAAACGCAGTAGTCAATCTTCTCTTCTGCTCATTAATTATTCGTAATCAATGTCGTCGACTAAAGATGAGCATCAAACATTTTTGTTATCATTTCTGAGAGTTGCTTAGGGCAACGTGATGTGCTCTTTGTAGTCATGCTACAAGATTAAGCTCGGCAGACCATGCGACCAGAGAGTTTGACAATTGCTTGAGAGGTCTTCTAAGAAATGCAGAGATTTCGTGACGTTTGTCGTGCTTAAGTGCGTGAAACTAGTCTTTGATGGAGTTACTTTTGGCCGCAATCGTATTATCTTAATAAGTGACATCTATTAGAGTGGTTTTGACCACATCAGTGTCATGATAAAAGTATCTACAAATGAACTGTTACAAGAGCCTATGGACACTTAGATACTAGAAAAGCTTCAGGTGATATGGCGTGAATGCTTTCCGAATAACAACCCGAAACATATGGGATGGAAAGTATTTGGTCTATACCAAAGAAATAAGTCAACAAGCAGCGATCTAACAGGCTCAGAAAATCTCGAACTGGACTACTGACCAGGGGGTCTATAATTTTAACATAGCCTGTATTAAACAGTATCTTTATTCATGTAAGAAATCACTATCATTGAACAAGAGATTCTTTAATTTTTTACTTAAAGTTAGATAATTTCAAATTGCATTAAATTCAACTTAAATGGAACTGGACAACTCTAATATGAGGATTGTTCTTCACGTATAAGTGGATCAGAGCCGAAATCAGCAATTCGGCATGACCAAGCGTTACGGAATCGCATTTTTTTACTTTCGACGCCTTTATATCCTCGTTACAGACCAAAAAATCACGAAATTTTTACCGTAAGAGTACATCAGCTCACTCTAACATGGATGAAAATCTCATGAACTCATTCGTCATAGAAATGAATTTATCGAAGGAATGCCCTCCGTTACGGAATTCCGTTCTTAAAAGTAGAAGTTTTTAGAGCTCGATATATCGGGCATTCCTTGTGATTGAACCATAGTTTCTCTTTCATCGCAAAACTTGCTTCTATGTGCACACTGATCACGACTTGATCGATATATGATTAGACGTTCAATCGGTAACTCCTGTCAATTTTTCGAAAAAACGAAAAATTCACGAAAATTATCAGCTATTTTTCGTTTGGCTAATCCAGTAGAGATATTTCCGTGCTCCGACCACTTCGAGATGAAGGCGGTTGTAGCCCTCTACATGTTTCAAACTCTTTCGATTGTATTTCCTGTGGACAGAGAATTTTTCCTGGTAACCTATTTTGTAAAACCATCTTCAACGAACGTGATCGGTAGCTGGCGGTATCGAATTAATTATTGGTCTGCGATTTTTCTGATTTTGATAAAATTTGTGCATGTATAGTATATACGTTTAATCCACACTTGGAGCAAATTCAATCTTCATAGGTTTCTTATAGAGTTTTTCTTATTTTAAAGATTACTTAACTTACTAAAACTTGCTTTTTTCTCTTTTTCTTTACCGATTCCTGTAGTGAAAAATATCAGTTTTCAACCATTGTTAAAACCTCAACTTCAAAGTCTACTGATGTATTCACCACACCACGAGAATCTCAAAGTCCGTTCAGTTATTAACCGTATGCACATGCTAAGTTGTTTCTTAGACATTTGAAGTTGCTATTAATACCCTCAAAAGATTGATTGTTTTGAAATTTTCAGCTTACTTATCTCATTTATCTCATCTTTTACGAGCCACTCTCGCTGAATCTCGATAGCTATTGCATTTCATCTCTTGTTTTCACAAGAAAATATGGGAAACAAATAAGTTTGGTTTCAAAGATCGTGCTAGCGACTACTGCCATATAACTATGAAACTACTTCTCTAAAATAGTGTCCGTTCTCCGGTTTGAAACACTCGTAAAGTATTCGTCGGGACGTTGAAAACAGGACAGATTGAATATTGTTCATTATAAATCAGTATAAAATTTTCTGAAATACTGGTCAAATTCTGACCATCCCAAGAAGTATCTTCATTCATTCTTAACATTAACATTTGCATATGGGAGAGTAGAGCATAAAGTATGTCTATTGGAAACTTGAAAATTGACCGGTGTCAGTGTATGTGCAAGTCAGACTATTGTAGAAGACTTATTCTACAATGAGATGTAGTTAATGCATAAGATGCGGCACTCTCATATAGGCGAAGTTATTTGTTCTGATCGACCGGTTCTAAGTCTGGTTCAATCGGGATAAAGACGGTACCCTTATAGATACAATAATGATAACTTGTGTGTATCAGCCGATCTAGACAACCAAGCTCTGATCTTTAAGATTGTCACAGCAAAAAATCTATCTGATCTACGCAAAAGACAAATGGTATATGAAAACTTGCGCAAGCGGGAAAGTATATAAGTCCGTTTTGTATTCAGAAAACTAAAGAAAACTTGTCTCAAAAGCCGAGAAATCTCGTTTCGAATATACACTCATTTTTCGCTTACCACAATGAATTCCACCACCGAATTCATTTAGTATTCGCAATGGGCATGTGATAACATCGAAACCAAGTTCATCTTCTAACAATTTGTACAATGGTAATTCACATTCTTCAATTATGACACAGTTTTCATTTAAGGATAAGAGATTCATATTGAGATTTGAAGAACACATTGCTACTGGAGTCACAAGACTTGTTACGGCTTTCGGTGCCCAAATTGGTTTCCAATCATTATCCAGGAATATTTTCAATTCACTTTTCAATGGAGGAAAATTTTGATTGATTAAAATCAGACCGTGTGATCCAGCTGTTGGCGGACGCAGTGGAACAAGTGAAACGTCTAAGTGAATATGATTCATTTGTGGAAAATGTACCATATGAAAACGAAAGTGAGGAAATTCGCGTCTCAACCATTCTAAACCTTTGTTATTGGCCGACATGCCTCTTTTGTAGAAAATATCTTTACCCATACGCATCATGTCAGCAGCATCGAAAGCAATTTCACTCTCATTCAATGGTGTTTTATATCCACTTAAGGGAAAATAGGAAGTGTTCACAGCAGAGAGTGGCTTATCTTCGGTGTCGCTGTCAAACATTGTCGATGAGCATGTTGGTTTTGGTGCCTGTTTCCATTGCACGCGCGTGTCATTAAGCCATAGATCATTGATAACAGAGCGGTAATATTTCGATTCAAAGTAACGACAACGTGCAGCTGTTGGTGCTTCTAGGATTGTGTTGCCCAGTGTAATCAGCATATCACGTGGGCAAGAGAGACCATATTGATATGAATTATGGAACCACGGAGTTTTGATATAATGATCAAACTTTGGTTCTTCAATAGTTTTCGGAGGACGACATGTTTTTATTTTGGCTTTTTGTAATATTTTGATCTGTTTATAATTTTCTTCGTTATCGTTAGTGTCGTTCAATTTTGTAACGATGGGATAACTACGTTTGCGCTCAATTAAAAGATTAATATCCTTTTCTACTTCGTTGATTGTAGCCACTTTTATCTGTTCGCCCTCCAATATGTCGGTTAATTGTTGTAACTGCTCCTGCGCTTTTAAAATTCTAGCCTGTGGCCGAATTCCAGTGTATAGTTTCACATAGGACTTCATGTCGTCACTACGAGGACGGTTCAATGGAATCCATTCTTCGTCAGGATAACACATGTTCTCTGCACTACCAACCATGACATGTTCGAGTTGTCCCCATTCTGTCCAAGAATTTACTAGCGGTATATTTTCTGCAGTTATACTCATTTTCTGTATACTAATGAGTTTCTTTCTAGCTATAAAAGAAAGAAAATAGCTTTCACTATTAATTTCAGAGCGACAGTGCCTTTTGGTGGGATTTTTGCGAATGTGGTAGAAAAAATCAGCGATACAACATTTAAGTGTTCAGTTGTTATGTCATCAAGGGCCAGAGACTGAGAAAAATTAAAGTGACACTTAGTACTCATTTTATTTTCAGTTCAATACGTTCGGTAGTACACGGTATATCAATATTATAAACCGCCCTCACACAGTCTAACAAATTGATTTGTTTGATTTCAGCAACGGCTAATAACGAATAGCTTATGCCATGTGGGTGTGAGGCCGTATGTGCATTATCTACTAGACGATTGTCCTATTTCGATTTCCCTCATAGTCGGGAAAAAGCTGGAAAACTATGAAAACGTACTATTTCATAATTATACACCCCCTGATCAGTAGTCCAGTTCGAGATTTTCTGAGCCTCTTAGATCGCGGGTTGTTGACTTTTCTCTTTGGTATAGACCAAATACTTTCCATCTCATATGTTTCGAGTTGTTATTCGGAAAGCATTCACGCCATATCACCTGAAGCTTTTATAGTATCTAAGTGTCCATGAGTTCTTGTGCAACGGTCCATTTGTAGATACTTTTTATCATGACACTGATGTGGTCAAAACCGCTCTAATAGATGTCACTTATTAAGATTATACGATTGCAACCAAAAGTAAGTCCATCAAAGACTAGTTTCACGCGCTTTAGCACGAGAAGTGTCATGAAATCTCTGCATTTCTTAGAAGACCTCTCAAGAAATTGTCAAACTCTCTGGTCGCATGATCTGCCGAGCTTAATCTTGTAGCATGACTTGAAAGAGCACATCAAGTTGCCTTAAACAACTCACAGAAATGATAACAAAAATGTTTGATGCTCATCTTTAGTCGACGACATTGATTACGAATAATTGATGAGCAGAAGAGAAAATTGACTACTGCCTTTTAAATATATTATAGTGAGACATAAAGAAGAAAACTAGAAGTTTCTTCTTTCCCTGGGAATGATAGTTACTGATGTGTCTAAAGATACCAATAAACTGCTTTGGAAGCATCTACCAAATAGTAAGTCAAGGCCCTGTCCATTATCCCTATATTGACACATATGTTACAATTCGATAGTTTCCAATGTCGCTGACTGAAGTTGAGTATCGACCACTTTTGCTATTGTTTCTGTGAGTCGTCTGCGGTAACTTGATCTGCTCTTTCTTACCATGCCATTGAAGTTTGATGATTTTATGAGGTTCTTCTATCAGATCAAGAGCAAGCATGATAGTTACCGTATTGAACTCTTCCAGATTACTCTTTAACTATCTTCTAGGGACTTTGTGTCAACTAGAACGATATTGTCAGTAGGAATAACATATTAGATTGGTTTTGAATGGACTGAAGATGCGATCAAATTATATACATACGACGTTGCACAAGAACCCATGGACACTTAGATACTATAAAAGCTTCAGGTGATATGGCGTGAATGCTTTCCGAATAACAACTCGAAACAGATGAGATGGAAAGTATTTGGTCTATACCAAAGAGAAAAGTAAACAGCCAGCGATCTAACAGGCTCAGAAAATCTCAAACTGGACTACTGACTAGGGGGTCTATAATTATGAAAGAGCAAGTTTTCATAGTTTCCCAATTTTTTGCCGACTATGAAGGAAATCGAAATAGGACAATCGTCTAGTAGATAGTGCACATACGGTCTCACACCCACATGGCATAAGCTGTTCATTATTAGCTGTTGCTGAAATGAAACAAACCAATTTGTAAGACTGTGTGAGGGCGGTCTATAATTTTGATATACCCTGTATTTCGGAACTTCATATTTATCAGTCTCGAGCAATTTATCTCTAGAAAACTACTTCAGAAAGCCATTTCTTTTATTAAGTCGGCAATTATTCTGCTGAAGATACCTAATTAAGATAATTCAAAAAGAGCGCCGTAGATATTCCAATTTATTGTAGGTTTATAAGCTTTAATAAGAGATTGCGAAGTCGCGATCGTTGCACTTCGTTCTCGCTTTGACAACCGTCGAAGAAATGTCCTTTTTAAGGAGTCTGATAGATAACAGAATGTTCTTTTTTTATAATATATGATCAAATTTTAACCAATTAGATAATAATAAAGTTTCGGACAAATTTGTCCGGTTCAAATGTGTAATACCTGTCAAAAATTTGTTTCAAAAACGTAAATGCGTATACTTTATAGCAACGCGAACAAAAAAACTACTAGATTTTTTCGGGGAATAGTGGTATTTGCAAGTTGTGCAAAACATGTTTAAGCAAAATATTATGTCTTCTTATGCGTATCGACTATAGATTGACTGATTTATTTTGCTCATTTTTTTCCATTCTTGTTTCAGTGACATGGGATATAGTCAGAAACGACTCATACAAAGATTACTTTCCTGAACAAAACTACGACGAAGAAAAGAAATTGGACTTGAACAATTTTTTTGATGCGCAAACTTATACTGATAACAAGCCGAGTTAAACAATATTATACATGGGTCTGAAACTGATATTTCCGAAATACAATGTAACAATTTGAACTACAAATATCCACTAACAGTTTTGGGACAGAGTTACGAAATCTAACATTTATTTCTTTGCTAACTGCGTTGATAATATTTATTTTACTAAACAGGATAATATAGTTTATAGCTTTCTGGTTCAATTCCTCTGCTAGGTTTCTGTACAAACGATGTTGCATCATTTTTGTTCTCTCCAGAGATCGGTGCTACCTATTCCTACGCACATTCTTTACTCGTATGCGTATATGATTTCTATCACTTGTCTGATGTATTATTAAGATCAGTACTGAAAGAGAGAATCTACGAAGGATAAGAGAAATATTTACTCAGGCTAATTGTCAGGAAAAAACGTGGTTCTGGTTCAGCTCCGAAATTTTTCTTAAAATCAAAACTGGCCGTGATTGCAAAATTTTCAAATGAATACGAAGCCTTTTTAAGAAGACGACTATAATATTTAGACCCAAATATAGAACATATATTGATTTACAGAAAAAAATGTTCTTTACCCATCAAGAAATATATCGTATCAAGCACTTTTATACTCTATAACATGACCTCCTTCGAGTTTATTTTGTACCTTCTAGTTGTAGTTTATCGTGGGTTTGCACAAAAAGTGCGTAAACTCAAAATTAAATATATTCTTTTATTATATACAATGGAATTTGATAAGATATATGCTATGAACTCAGCAATCTCATATATATTGCAGATTGCAGATTCAGGAGACGTCGGATAAGTAGCGCAATAAATATCAATAAAAAAGACCTTTTCATCATTTTTGAAACCTACGGACAGCGTTGGATGAATCATCTGCCGAAAGGGATGACCCTTCTTCCGTCTCGTCAATACGTAAATCAACAAAATCCATCAAGAGCTCAAAACCAAAGTCAACAATCATTTTTAATAGAAAGCGCTAAATAATTACAAAGCCCAGTCCTATTCACATCGAGTATCTTAATTATTCTAAAGTACGCACCACTATACAATATTGTTAATCCCAAGGAGAAAAGCTGACTGCAATGATTGCCGTTGATTGCTATGCTTTTCTTTAGTATTCGATGGTGAGTTGAAGTATTTTCTGAACATACGCATCTTTTTCATTAGTAGACATTGCGACAATAATCTTTTCATAGTCGTGAAATGGGCAATATACGTATTTTTTGGTAATCGTGATTGTCAACAATTGATTTACAAGGAATCAGCTTCTTCCCCTTGATTAATCCTTCCACACAAACATCTGATAAGCGTTTCGTTCACAAACACACATTGAAAAAATGGACGCAGAATAATAAACTTTCAAAAAGAGTTGACAATCACAGCAAAAAATCTTTTTAGGTTTATACATGTTATCGACCATCTTGAGGGTGAGGATATTTTATATAGACATCAAGATTAGTCACACTCACCCTCACTCACTTACACTTTCCATCAATTTACCTATGAAACTTATCACAGATAATTCGGGTTTCAACAATAATGCAAAAGCAGAGCAATTATCGATTGGAAATTTCGATTGAAATAGTATAAACAAATTCATCTTGTTTCACACTTACAATTCCACGTGGAATTGTGCTGAAAGCTTTTCGGTGTGACCTTTCATATCATCGAGCGTCTTAAAGGCTTCGTAGCTATGGGCTGTCATAATGCCTGTCTCCGATGGATTCAAAAGACTCTCTACCGTACTTATTACGTGAAATCTTATTTTTTTATCATGGACTAAAAGGTTTTGTATTAAGCTGCCGCTACGAATTTTTTTCATTTCAAAACTTAAAAAGGATTGTTGCGTATATAGGTCGAAAAGTCCTTTTTCAGTGCTGTATATTTCAAACAATAAATGTATCTGGGAAAAGGCTATTAGTTAGGAAAAAACACGAGAATAATCCAGTTTATAAGGATCTGATGCCACAATTACGCCTGTTTCACTTTCATATTGCGTCCATAGTTCGATCATCTTTTGCAAGATCTCCGGTTTTTCTTCTGCTAAATTTTCTAACTCACCTTTGTCTTTTGTCAAATCATACAATTCCCATTTTGTTCCCTCAGGATATGGCTGTTTAGGAATGTAAACTGCTTTATAGTTTCCTCGACGAATTGCTCGCTGGCCAAAGAGTTCCCAACCAGTAAAATCTTGGTGTTCATCGTAGATTGAATGGTTGAAGTAAAAATGTGAAACCCAAGATTTTCCACGGGGTAAAAGAATTTCTCGATCGTGAAAAATAGGACCTGGATGAGTTACACCGGCCAATTCTAGTACAGTAGGTAGGATATCCATCACAGTGCAAAATTCATTTGTAATTTTTCTCTTCGTCATTGGTTCAAAATGCAAAATTGCTGGACATCGAATTCCACCTTCTGTAATATATCCTTTAGTCATACGACATGGTGCGGTTGCGGCTTGCGCCCACTGTGGACCGTACCAAATGAATGATGTCGATGAACCAATATTTTCATAAGAATTATCAAAATACGTGATACTTTTGTCAATTGATTTCAATGGAATAGACTCAAGTACGGCCCCTTCGGCTCCATTGTCGGAGGTAAAAAATATAAACGTATTATCAAACTGATTTTTTCGGCGAAGAAAGTCGATTACACGACCAATATTATAGTCTATTCGTTCAACCATTGCCGCATAGATTTCCATTGTTTTTGAAGAAAATGCTCGTTCCTCGTCTGACATCGAGTCCCACAATTTCTGATCTATTAATCCTGGTGCAGCAGCAACATCAGCAGACAGTAAGCCTGAGCGACGCTGGCTTTCAAGTCTAGCAGCACGCAGTGCATATGGTCCTGCATCGTATTTTCCTTTATATTTCTTAATCAATTCATCCGGTGCCTGTAAAGGCCAATGTGGGGCAGTAAAAGCAAGATAAGCAAAAAATGGTCGTTTGTCATCATCGTCGAGCAATTTGATTAGTTCGGATGTGAAATAATCTGATGAATAGTAATCTTTAGGTAGCTTAGCATGGTCAAAAACTTCATCATCACGTGCATATAGTGGAGGCATGAATGCCGGCACTGGATTTTCCACTGTACCAGGTTCGTAGTTAAAATGGTTACCAGCACCTGGTAGTAATGCGAAACTTTTTTCGAAACCACGTTTCGATGGGAATCGCTCTTTCGTTAATCCTAAATGCCACTTTCCAGTCATTATTGTTCGATATCCACCAATATCATTAAGAATCTTGGGCAGTGTAGCAACTCGATCGTTTAAATACCCTTCATAGCCTGGTTTTCCATCCCAGAGTTCTTTATATAGCGATATAACCTCATTCATTTGTCCGATGCCAACCAAATGATGATCAGTACCACTCAACAACATTGAACGTGTAGGGGAGCATGCTGACGCAGTATGAAAGTCGGTCAAAAGAGTTCCGCCATTGGAAGCGAGTTCTTCAAGGTAAGGTGTAGATATTTCAGAGCCAAACGGTGAAATATCGGAGTAACCAAGATCATCTGCAACGATAATCAGAAAGTTAGGACGACTCATTATAAATAAAATAGTAAAATGACTGTTATTATATTTCATTCTATTTATATAATCCTCCATATTTAGTGTACACGTGTAGAAAAAGAAAAAAAATCATAAATAATGGTAAGGGGCGGCAGGTTTTTTTAACTCAGATCTCTCAAATTGCAATGATAGCTCCAGAAATCCTGTGAGTAAGAAATCTGTCATTTCCACTTTGCTTACCAATCTGTTTTAGGCATCAGTAAGACGCAAAACTTTAATCTTAGCTTCACGCAATATAATACTTTAAAATACATTTCCTGGCGTAACTTTACATGCTGATTCAGAATTCGGATTCTATTTTTTATTCAAGAAGCTTTTTTGTATAATACAATACTCGTTTTCATGTTTATTTTGTCGACCAGCTACAATGTGGCCTGATCCATCTGAGGTTTTCAGTGTTTGTAACTGGTTTGATTTTAGAACGAAAAATCTGTATTGATGTCATGTATCTACAGTACAAAAATTAGCTTAGTATCACTAGCACAATTACGAGAAGAGTTGAGAGTAGTGATTTTTTTAAAGTGACACAATTTAAGAGTCCTACACAGTTCTTGGCCTACAACGGTTCGAATATTCCATATGTTAAACCATTTGACAGGACAGATTGGATCCTTATACCGCGTTCTCTCGAATGAGACGTTCCTAATTGCAAACAGCCAAATCAATTGCGAGAAAAGATTAGAAGAGACCTCTAATACTTGTTTCTCGTCATGTTTTTGGTAGATAAAGCTGAATGATCTAAATATAAAATTAAAATGTTTTCCGCCATGACGCTAGAATCTTTTGTGAAAAAATCTCTTTGAACTGTTTCTAAAACTAAATTGGATTATCTCTCCAGCAACCTAGCGGGGTGTGGTAGAAAATTCGATTAGATTATTGGGTTCCAGACGATACTACATAGCATCATAACATCAAATCAGAACGTAAACTTTTGTCAAGTGTTTGGACGTCCCTCGCAATTCTCGAAAAATAAACCAAGCCGATCCGAACCTAAAATGATCTAAGAGGGGAAAGTCTTATTACAAAACCTTTTTCGATTTTGACCATTTGAATACTTTCTTTCTGAATCAAACTAGTCAGAAACCATTTCAATTTTCCTCTTTTTTTTTCAACACATCTAACATTTTTTCAGAGGAAAGCTAGGTGGCCTGTCAGAGTATTATTGGTATGTGACTTGAAATCAGATTCGGAAAAAAATTTATTCTGCCATATTTTGTATTTCTATTTAAATCTATTTGATAGAAGATTAAATGTAATATTTGATCAATTGTTTTGTTCAGAGCGATGTTTGATCTACAATATCTTGCATTTGCTTATCTGTTTTATTTACTATATTATATACGGACAGCATACGGTTTGCATAAAACGCATTTCCTCAAAATTTGACTTTTTTAGTATAGCCAAGCAAGAAAAAAGCTTTTACTACAATTGTGAGGTCGTTGCTATCAGTGATTTGAGATTTCGATTATCCTACTAGCCTATTTTGTACAGAATTAAAAGCACTACGATAGACCACTTCAAATCTGTTTAAAGTTCAAATATAGTGAATAGAAAATCATAGGGAATTCACGTTTTTTGTTTGTCCCAACAAGATTTTGAATCGTGTTGAAAAACGCTCTGACTTTTTTTTAGCTTCGATTAGAAAATATGTGAAAGATGTATTGGGGAAGGAGATCAAGCTGGGATTCTTTGTGACTACCTTAGGTGCAAAAAAACTGTTTAAGTGATCGAAGAACGAGAAAATATTTTGTAGTTATTGACTCGAGAAGGATCACGCTTCGAAATGCATTGAGAATATTTTCAGATGGGGTCGATTTGCGTTTCTGTAAAAATCAATCCGAACCATAACCATCTCTGTTTTGTGCCGAAAAACGTGGAACATATAAGGAATCGGGAACCGGCGCTGATAATTGTTATCTTAGTTTATCAACATACCCTTTCATAAAATTTATATTTGAGAAAGAAGGGTTTATGAAAGAATAGTGCATGTTGACAAACGGATTTGATGATGGTGACCAGTACTTTTTTCGATGCTGAGCTTCTTACGCGAAACAATTCCGTGTGACAGCGATGCATCCGATGACACCGTTATGCAAAAAATTGAGCATGTGTAAATTCTTACAGTATCCCGCATCATCTTATGTTTGACGCTTTCGATCTAAGACTTAAAATATTGAAAGCCAGGGAGAAGCAAAATAAATATCTAAGAAAAAACATTTGTCGATTGTTTCACATTTATACCCGGTATCTAGTAAGAAGGGCTTGTAATTTTTGAGAAGCAATCAGTTGCTCATCAGACAATTGTCTGCGGATAAATACTCTACATAAAAAAGATTCCGAATAGATCTGGGTGATTCCACCATATGTCTGACACTTTATACAGCGACTTCCTCCAAACTGATTTTTAAGTTCAGATTCATGTAGAGCATAGTCGATAACCTATGTTTGGCCACAAAAAATTTGCATTTAAGTTAGACAGTGAAGGGGCCAGCGATCATCAATTTTTAGTAAAAATACGAAGATCAAAGAGATCCATTGTTCATATTAATAAAAGGCCCACGCAGAATTTCGGAGCATGGTGACTTAGCAGGTTTTGAAGAGCTGCTTTTTCTCCACAATTTTACATAGAAAACTTTTCGAGGGATTCATGTTAAGTTTTAAGTAAGTTTTTTGCTACACTTTCGCTGTATCATCTATGAACTAGAAGTAAACTACATAGGAAAAATTTACTTTTTTAAAAATCAACACTCCCCCGAAAATTTTTTGATGTAAAATTGTAGAGAAAAAGCAGCTCTTCAAAGTCTGCTAAGTCACCATGCTCCGAAATTCTGCNACGAGGGGTAAAAAAAGGGACAAACCTAAGATATTTTTATACCAAAATGATCAGCTCAACGAGCTCTACAAACCCTGAAAGTTTGAGCAAATTCAGAGAAAGTCGATGTAAACGTGGTACGTTTCCCATGGATTCACCCAATACGTGAGTAAGAAAGCAAAAGAAATCTAAACAAATATGAAATGCTTGTTGTGTTCTGTAAAAAATATCATACTGAATCTTTTTTCGGTACAAATTTCAGATCCTTTTTTAGTTTTAGCAGAAAGAATCTAGGATCTTAAATGGCTTTAGCCAGGCGTGCTGAATTCGAAAAGGTTTTTAGATTTCTTTGATGGAATTCTAATGGCTCTGGAGATAATACCCAAATCTAAAACCTTTTATGATTCAATATCGCCCGGTTGTTTTAGGGAGTACTTTGATTGATCCTAAGCATTTGAATACGAATTTTAAATTACATTGTATGAACATTTGTTCAATGATTCGTTTTCTCTTGTTTTGTTGGTCACCGGCCAGTCACATATACCCGTGTCCAACTATCTAACGAGCAAGCGTTCTAAGGCGGTTATTTTTTCCGCATTTTACACTTGAGGAGGCATAAAAAGGAAAAATAAAAGTATTTCACGGCAAACTATTTATACTCATTTGGTATTTTGTATTTAAGAAGCAAAATATCGTAATCATTTCTATCCAATAATTTCTACAATTAATTGCACAAACTCGTATCTCATTCACAAATATTCCTCACAATATTAACAGCAGTACCGAGGTAAATCCATTGCTGTTTTTCTGAACGGCCAACATTTCAGTTCGAAAAAAAAGTACAAATAATCTATCACTCGCGATGAAATTATCAGTTGGTATTATTGGATGTGGCCCAAGTGGCTTAGTAACACTGAAAGAGTTACTCGATGAAGGTCATCAAGGAACTGTTTTTGAGAAAACATCGCATGTCGGCGGCATATTTAGAACAGCTTATCAGCAAGGTTTCATGGTGTCCTCAAATCTCATCACAATGTTTAGTGATTTTGTTGGCAGAGAAGGTGACCATATTTTAGAGAATCCACGAATGCTGAGTTTCATTGAATACTCTCAATATTTGGATGATTATGCTGATCATTTCAAGCTGAGACCACATATCCATTTTGAAACATATGTACAATCAGTGTGGCAAGACACGCCAACTGGCAAATGGAATATGCGTATTTTTAAGAATGAAGGAAAAGAACAAGATATATTACAATTTGATCGTATAGCTGTTTGTTCTGGCACACATCAAAAGCGGGAAATGCCTAATTTTATTGGTCAAGAGCAATTCAGAGGGGAAATCAAGCATTTACAAGATATTAAAGAATTTCAAGATTTCACGGGAAAACGTGTGTGTATTGTTGGAAGTGGCGAATCAGCTAGTGATATGGCACTGGCGTCCGCCAAGTATGGCAAACAGTCGTTTATATCAATCCGTAAAGACCATGGTGCTATTGTGCCAAGATATATGGACGGCCGACCATCCGATTTAGAAACAAGCCGCGCTCTTCATTCAAACCCGCATGCATTCGGCGTGTATCAATCGTGCTTTTTGCTTTATTATTCCCTTTTTTTGGCGCTTATTGCTCGACTCTTCGGATATGACAAACGGCCACCTGCAGAAGTAGAAGTAGATCGGCAAATTTTGTTAATGAATTTGGCCCAAGTTCGTACGAGCAACTACCGAAATTCTTTCGGAACAAAAAATAGTGGACTGGCAGAAGCAATGGTCAAATACAGTTGTCGACGAAAACCTGACATTCGTGAACTTAAATCACCTGCCACAATTGTGTTTGCTGATGGAACTCAAGAGGATGACATCGATGAAATTGTATGTTGCACCGGTTTTGAAAACAGGTTTCCATTCTTAGAAACAGATGATAACAAAAATGATGAGATTATCCAACAAGTTGCAAAAGATGCAAGAATTTCTCATGATCTCTATAAACATTGTGTACATGTGCTCACAGGCGATAATTTATTTTTTGTTGGCTTTGTTCGACCATCCTTCGGTGCTATACCTCCTTTAGCTGAAATGCAGGCACGTTGGTTTGCTCAGCTGTGCTCTGGTAATATTAAGTTACCATCACGCGAAACAATGATTGAACATAGTAAAATCTATGTTAAATACATTGAAAATCAACTGACATCCTATCGAACAAATCGTATTGTCAATTTAACCGATCATTTAGTTTATTCAGATGATATGGCGCGTTTAATTTCATGTCGACCCAATTTTCTTAAAATGTTTTTCTGTGAGCCGAAGTTGTGGATAAGATGTCAAATGGGACCCATAATGATGGCTCATTATCGCCTTTGCGGTCCTCATGCAAAACCGGCTGAAGCACGACGTATCATCCACAAGATCAAATGGGTACATGGACTACCAGAAATCCTCCAATTCATAATGATCTTTATTCATTTTCTTTTTTATTATTTTGGAGGAATCAAACGGTGTAAGCCCAACGCATGGTATCCAGTGACTGAATGGCTATCATAGATATTCTTTTTACATATTTTTGCAAAGGAATAACTGTTCACAATACTCGACTCTTCTTTTTCAAAGCCTCATTCTTTTCATAAATTTCTCACGGAGGGTGAAAACATATAGTAGCAGATACTATAATCATCTAACAAAAATTATTTCTTCTTACTAACTCATATAATAAAGTGATACAAGAAAGTGACTCGGATTAGAGGTACATATTAGAAATGTGATAAATTCGAATATGTTCTTATGTCTCGTTATTTGGAAAGAGAACGTCAATGTTTGCTCAGTAGGAAACTTTGAGTGAATAGTAAAGTTGTTTGATATGTTGTCGCTAGGTATTATACTAGAATCTCAGTCTTATAAAATGTACGGTTTAACTACATTACTTCTGTCAGCTTATGTGGTTTGCTTTACTTTCGTAAAACAACAGAAGCTGTTTCGTTTTTGTTTCAGTAGAATACTGAATACTGTATCGAATTAGATACTTTCTATTTTTTTCATATTCATTTCAAAAGTCTTATAAAGCCTGAATGACATCAAAACAAAGCTTTGAAATGGCAGGCCATTGTCTTATCGCCGACACAGTATTTCGTCAATTAGAGAATTCTCAATATGATGCTTACCAGTAAACGAAAATATTTTTAATTATCATATCGGTCATTTGTAAGGACTCATTGTGCAAGATACGTGTTTTTTATGAAATACTTTTATTTCAAGAAAAGGGCTTTTTCAGTCAAGAAGTAGTGGTGGATTTCGTATCCCCAGGATTTTCATCGGATTCGTAGGGGTTTTTGTATTTTAATTACACTTCGAATTGCAACTTTTTTAATTACAATACATATGCTTTTGTTTCACATAAGTTTATGACGTTTGCTAGACTTTACGATGTTGTTTATATAGAGCAGTATTTGTATCTATATAGTTGGGAATCTTTTTTTTGGTTATAAATTTAAATAAAATGTGGAATAACATACATCTGGTACAAATAACATCTTGATGGCTATTTGCCTACTTTTGTCTCACTAGCAGTAAAGTAACAAGAAGTCAGGAAAATACTGCTGAACAGAATTGATCACGCACCAAGATGGATCAATCTGAATCTGAAGTATGCGTAGTAATTATGAATATACAGGTATGTAAAAAAATTATGGGATAATATAAAATGGCTTCCTAAAGATTCGTTTCGTTCAAATTTAACATTATCTATATGGTAAGGTCAGTTACTGCTCATATACTTTAATTATGGCATATAAATGTAAAAGTCCTGGTTTTAAAATAATTAAAAAATAATACTGCAAGGAAACTTTATATCATAGAAAATATATGGTATATTCTATTGTTGTTGAAGTTTTTGTGCTCTTTTATCATGTTTACTAGGAAAAGATCTATCTGATATTATCGAGATTAGGTATTATTGAATAAAACCATAGACATATTAAAAGACCGTTCTCATAAGAAAACTCCCTCATAACAGAAGGTTCCTCTGAAGTAAACTACACAAAAAACATATTAGAAGATCCCCATAATTTTTATTTACAACAAGCAGTTTATTTTTCACATCTTTCTGTGTAAATACATCTTAATATTGTGTTAAAGAATCATCTTCTGACTTACTTGTCATGAAAATTGGACAATAGTATGGCGTAGGGGTGTCATTTTACCATGGAATCCAAGAGTTCATCTTGCGTCCGCTAGAAGTTTTTTACAGTTCTTCAGCAGTTTTCCATGGACTTTTCTGTATACTTCATTGAGATGCATCAAGTTGCCTCCGAAGAACTGTCCAAGAACTCTGACAATTCTCAGTAAAGTGACACTCTTAGTATACTACTAAGAAATATTCATGAAACTCAGTTTATATGTCTAGAAAAGCATGAGTCTAATCATAACCATCGGATTCTGATACAATCCAAATCGGAATCCGTCAGTTAGGCTTGATTCACTTAAGTATGGAAGAAATATATTCATGCCGATGACCACATTTAAGATAATAAATATTTTCTTCAGTACATTGATCTAATTGATATGACATCTTTCAATAAATTTTTGGCTCATACAATCGACTATTGCATTAGTAACTATTGTCGTCATAACGTGTTATTTTCCGTTACAATTTCCTCTTTCCATTCTAACATGATGATGTAACGGCCGGTAGCATGGAATTCCTCTTATTAAATTGACTGAAGATAGGCAGGAATGCACCAAATCCTGTGAATATGGCACAGATGCCCCATTTTACCTAAATAAAATTTTGTTAGCGCAATCCCTTGTGGAATTAAACGTATTAAACACCATAAATCTGTGTATACTATTTCAACGGAGATATCCAACTGATAATTGTTCTCCTTTTGCACTATTATTGAAATCTCAACTATCTGTGATAATTTTCATAGGTAAATGGATTGAAAGTGTAAGTGAAAGATGGTAAGTATGGCTAAGCTTGATATCTAAAGAAGATACCCTCACCCACACCCTCAAGACGGCTCATGGCATCTGCCCGTCACGTCTGTGTGGGAATGGTGAGAGGATGAGTACAAATTTCTGATCTTAAACATACCAACACTCTTTTCAAATCGTGCTTCACATAAGTCTATATTGGTTGGTATTTTGCGTCAGGTATATGCTATAATACTGCTTTTTCACAAAATAGCAGTAAGGTGCATTTTTTTTCACATATAAAAAACATGCCGTTTATTTCGTGTGAAATCGCCATAACTGGTTAATACTAACTGAAATCATTTATCCGATGACAGTCAGATTCCTGATGAAAAACTAAACTAGAATCATGATCAAGTCAAAGTCTATGGATAGTATTATTGAGGAAATCGCTATGTAGTTCTCGGATATGAGACGCTCACGACCGACTTATTAGTTCATTTAGCTGATTTGTAGCAGTAATTCAACCCAAGAAATTTTTCAGACGATGACAGTTTATTTAGTTTTTCATGTGGATTTGAAAAAATATTAGTTAAATGATTTCAACAAGTATTAATAAGTTATTGTCCTTTGATATAAATAAATACTGAAACCTCGGATTCTATCCGTTAGTTATGTAATGGGTGGGCCATAAATAATGAGGGTGTTAGCATTTTGATCATAACTTTTTACGTCTTCAATGTTTAGAGCGGCTTGTTCCATGAGATGATGCGTCTTG